GATGTCCTTACTGGGAAATGTGACAATACATTTGTCGGATTGTTTTAGTTTGGGTTTTCCCAGAAGCAGAGCCTAAGAAGAGAAGATTCTGGAGCTCAGGAGTTTGGAGGAACTTTAAAGCTTCAGGGATATTGTGCCTCTGGAAATGCATATTCAGCACATGACTGTTTCCTCTCAAGTTAGCTCTAGTGGAATCACTATTTTTAGTTTTATAATTTTTTTCATGTTAATAACAAGTTATTGTTAGAATGGCACATTTATTGTTGCTATGGTTTGGTACATTTTCTTACAAAAAGGATGTGTCTTAGAGGAGGTGAACAGTTTTTCTATATTAATTATATACAAGCAAAATACTCCATGGAAGAAGGAATTTGTTCTGGCAGAGTAAGGAATGTGGGGAAGACAGAAATGGTGGGAACAGACAGAAATGGAGCAGAACTTCATGTGAAATCCAAGGTTCATGTCTCCACCCCTTCCCCACTTCCCTCTTTGTTTTTGGTAATGGTTCTAAATTAAAAAAAATTAAATTCCCTTTCTGATGCCCTGGGTGTATTTTTGTGGCTGCGGTATGGAGTTTTTTCGTACTATTTTTATGAATGCATTGCAAATTTACACTACAGACCTTTAGCCAGGGCACAGACATCGGTTCCTGACTGAAGGAGCCTTTCTCGCTAATCCGCCACAGTTAGGGGGTCCCATTCTATCTCTGAAGTTGTAGCTGTGCACTCTACTGACACCACTGACAGTTTGGTGGTTTTGGTATTGTAAACTTGTCCAACCCTCTCATTTTCCTGAGAAGGAAACTAGTGAAGCTGGAGAGGTGAAGTGACTTGACAGGCCACAGCATTAGTTCCTGGCATATCTAGGGCTGGAACCATTTGCTTCTTCCCAGCCCAGAGCACACGTCTCGGTGATGAAATTGTCAGCAATTTCTAGGTGATAAAACAGTACTCTTTGTGCCTTGATTTGTGCTGAGGCCCAAAGACTGAGAATTAACAAAAAGAGCCTAATTTCTAAACCAAGAGGCTGGAAGTCCTGAGTTGGACTGCCAAAGGGGTGAGGGTGAGGGCCAGGGTGTTTAAGGGTTGAAGTAGGAAGGTGGAGGCAAAATTTTCTTGCAGGGAGTTTTCTGATTGCTGTTGCATTTCCTGTGGGGGAGGGAAAGGGGAAGCTCTCCCCTCAACTTCAACCAAAGGAGAGGGGCTCTAAGGGAGCCTCTTAGAGAACTTGGTCTGTGGCCCCTGGAGTTTGGGGGACATAGTGGACTAGGGTGTGACGCACGCCTAATGGGGAGAGGCTACAACTACCAGCCTGAGGAGAGAGAGGATGAGAGCAGGAGAGTGCAAGAGAAACTAGGCTGCCCTCAGAGCTGGCTGCACTTCCACCAAGAACAGGAGCAAGATATGTGTTTCTCAGGGACCAGATACAGGACACCAGGAAAGGAGCCAGCCTAGAGCTACCTAGAGACAGGGTACTACATTAGTTTCCTAGGACTGCTGTAAAAAATTACCACAAAATTGATGGCTTAAAACAACAGGTATTTATTCCCTCACAGTTCCGGAGGCCAGAAGTCTGAAATCAAGGTGTTGGCTGGACCGCACTCCCTCCGTAGGCTCTGGGGAGAATCCATCCCTTGCCTCTTCCAGCTTTGGGTGACTGCTGGCATTCTTTGGCTTGTGGCCATATCACTCCAATCTCTGCCTCCGTGGTCACGTTGCCTCCTCCTCTTGGATCTGTGTCAAATCTCCCTCTGCCTCTCTCTTATAAGGACCCTTGTGATTGCTCTTTAGGCCCACTTAGATAATTCAAGGCAATCTCCTCATCTCAAGATCCTTAACTGAATCATTTCTGCAAAGTCCTTTTTGGGACTTATAAGGTGACCTTCATATGTTCTGGGGATTAGAACACGGATATCTTTTGGGGCCCATTATTCGGCCTGCCATGGTAGAGAGTCCCACCAGAGAGTCTGTTGGATGGACTGATAGATGACAGGGGCCTTGGGGCTCAGGGTGCCTCATTCACAAAGCGATGGTTATGCTGCTCACTTCTGATTTCAGCTGCAGCTGTGGAGGGCCCTTCCCTGCAACCTCAGACTCCTGCTAACTGTGCCCAACATTAAGCGAAAGCCCAGGTCTTTTTTCAGCCTCAGAGACTTCCCCAAAGCCTCTGAGAAGCAGCCTGGATGGGGCAAGGGGGTAGTTAATGCACAATGGGGTGATCCTCAAATAATGGAGAAGGGAGCTAGTGGGCAAGTGCCCCAGTCTCTCGTCTTTCAGAAAGACAATTCTGGGAAGTATTCTGTAAACTTTTCAGATCTTGGTAGCATAGAACCCCCTTTGCCTATAGCAGTGACCTTGACAATGCACCTTTTTTATGGCTTTTCATCCTTCCCACTCCCTCACTTCAGAGTCCTGGGATCACCTCCCAAATAAACTACCTATACCCAAATCCTTATCTCAGGCTCTGCTTTCAGGAGACCCCAAACAAAGACAGAAGGTTCCCAGCAAGGGAATCCCCAAGAAAGCCACAAAAGTGCTCCATGGGAGGCAACATAGTAAGTTTTCATGCTCAGAGGGCATCTTTGCAGGATTACTTCTGTGCTGGTTTAGTAAAATCTTTCCCATTCCTTAAGCCACACCTCTTGCCACCCCCCACCATTCAACCATGGAGGATCTAAAGGCGGGTAGAGTGGTGGGAGGGGAGGAAACAGTAGAAGGTGATCATTTCCCACACTCCTTTCCCCCCTCACTCAGGGGACTCAGGCTGAAGTGGGTGGGCCACAGCCTACTTCCTGCATTCAATTCTTTCAACATACTGCTTCAATCCACTTACTCTGCTAGCATCTGCATTTCTTTTAGAGACAAAGCTGTTCATCAGCTAGAATCACAACACTATGATTCTACTTTTAAATATCCTCTGCTAATGGTTATGCTATTCTGATGAAGTAATCAGGTCATTGCACGGTGTGTCTATAAAATGGAAGACGGATCCCATCTCACAGTGTCTGGGAGGATGAAGTGAGCTAACTCCAGGAGAATGCCTGGCCCACGGTGGGTGCCCAGTGATGGGCTCTTCTCTCCTCTCCACTACAGATTGCAAGGCTCCTGAGGGCAGGGGCCACGTAGGTCTCCTTTTTGTATCTCAGTTTCTCGGCAGAGTGCTTGGGACATTCTAAATAAGCAGTACCTTGTAGAATGGAAGGGTGGGAGTGTCCAGAAAGCAGCTCCTAATCACCGCAGCAGGTGCTGTTGGTGCTCTGCCTCCCTCCCTGCAGTCCTTACCATTGTTGCCAGACAAGGCTGCTAACTGCCAGCACCTGCACCTGTTTGCCCCTGGCTTTCTTTGCAGGCTCCACCTGCCTCCGTGGAGGGTTGGAAGTGCAGAGTAAATGCCCCCCTTAAAGCACCCCTCAAACAGTGACTGCTGGGACTTGTGAGTAAACACCCAGCTCCCTAGTCCCTTGGGTTGGGTAACTGTGAGATGCATGCTCTCCACAGGCTGCCTAGCTCCCCAGTGGCATTGAGCTCTGGAGGCTTGATAACCACCGTGCACTGGCTTCCTTCCCTGCTCTGTCTCGCTTCCTCACTCCCTACCTATGTTTCCTGAGATCCCTACCAAATAAACTACTTACACTCAAATTCTTGTCTCTGGGCTGGCCCAGTGATGTAGTGGTTAAGTTCATGTGCTCTGCTTTGGTGGCCCGAGACTCATGGACTCGAATCCTGGGCACGGACCAACACACTGCTTATCAAGCCATGCAGTGGCAGCATGCCACATACAAAATAGAGGAAGACTGGCAGAGATGTTAGCTCAATGACAATCTTCCTCCAGGAAAAAGAGGAAGACCGGCAACAGATGTTAGCTCAGGGCCAGTCTTCCTCACCAAAAAACAAAACAAAAAAATACCCGCCAAAAAAATTTCTTTTCTCATGGGCCGCTTCTGTGGGAACCTAAACTGAGACAATCACATCACTGAGATTTGAAATGTATGTGGAGCTTTGTGAAGCTGGGCCTTTTCTTTCCCATAGCCTCAATCCCCTTTCTGCTTGGTTTCAGATCTTTGTGTAATTTATTGTGTAAATTACTTGGCCTAACTTAAATCCATCCTGGGGCCTGTCTGCTTGCCACGTCAGAGCTGCCTCTGCACTGGCTGGGGTAGCCATCTAATTCAGTCAGCTGGTTTGCTGAGGCCAGGCCTGACAGTGGCCCCACAGCTGCTGCAGAAACACGAGTCTTCCTGTTTTCTTAACATGAAGATGACCTCAGATTGCAGGAGCCATTGTCCTAGTCCGAATCGCCTGTTATTGTGAAGGTGGGGACAGAATATTGTTACAGCCAATCCCTGCTTTCCCTTATCTTTCTCTTTGGTCCCATTAGAAGTAAATCTCTTTGGAGACTTTCAGTGCGTTTGCTCTGGGACAATGTATTCTGTCTGCTAAATGATGTGGGAAACATTACAAAGTGTGGGGAGAACCTGGAAGAACTTGGAGGAATTTTCAGGTAAAGCTCATTGAGGTTGCTGAACATGGAACAAAGTAAAGATAGTATTCATGGCCAAATACTTTGTGAAGATGTATGTGAAAATGGGACTTCTGGGTTTTGTAATCATATATTTTAAAATAGGGTAAAATACAATGTAAAATTAAATTAAAAACCGTTCATTTTCTAGACCAAAAGTCTCCAATAAGTAACTCTTAGAGCCTGACCTGACTAGTAGGATGGTTTGGAAGGGTTCTCCCCACACTTCATTACCAGAGCCTGGCACTTCCCAAAGCTAAAGTAATAGGAGGGTGACTTTGATATTAGAGCTGGGAAGGAGCAGATGAGCTTTTTGCATTATAAGGTTTAGGAGATACATTAGCAGAAGAATGACAATCATAGTGCAAAAGAGATGTCTGACTTTTTAATACATTCCAATCTAGAGGTCAGTCCACAGTGAAGGCTGCTTTCCCCAGTCCTGATCCAAGGATATGATTTTTTTTTTGTTTCCTCCCATCTAGCAGCAGAACTGTAGGACAGAGGATGCTGACACAACCCATGCTGAAGGCCATGTCTCAACAGGAGGACCTTAGTTCCAGAGGGTGAGGCAGAGGCGATGGGCTTACAGGGACTTGGGCCTGGGAAGGGAAAATGAACGAGGATGGGCAGGAGCATAGAGGCCTGGGGTACGTGTCTCTTGCCTGATGAGTGCAAAGGTGTGAGTCCTGAGACACAGGGTGGAGCCTGCAGCTACGGTGTGCCAGGGGATAGTCCCGATCATCCTGGGACTCTGCACCTCCTAGCGCATGTCACTTGAGCTCAGAGCAGAGAAAGAAGTGAGCATTCTTCAACTGTGTGTGTGTGCATGTGTGTGCTTGGCTGAGGAAGAGAGAAGAATATCTTTTCCTCCCTCCAGCTACCATCAGAGGCCTCTGGATTTCCTCATTCTGAAAGATGGGAAAATAGAGAGCCAGGACAAAGAGAGCTAGTCTGTCCAGCCCTTGTTTTCCAAAGTAAGCAGCTCAGTGTCTGGGCTGCATTTTTCTCCTGCCAATTTCTGTACTGGAAATTATTTAGTCCTTGGTAGATTTTTAAACAGTGTATTTCTAGTTATGGCTTCAAATTTTTTGCTACTCCTCCCATGAGAGGTGGAGTCTATGCTTGACCAATAGAAGGTGGCAGAAGTAATATTCTAGAACCTTTGAGGCTGAGTCTTGGGAAACCTATGGCTTCTGTCTGCATCTCTGTGAACACTCTTTCTGGGAGTCCTGAGCTGCTGTGTAAAAAAGTCCCACTGCTCTGTCCGTCGTGCTGAAGTCACATGTGACTTGTAGGCATTCTGGTCAATACTCACAGCTGGGCCCAGCCTTTCAGTCATCCCTGCCAAGGTGCCAGGGATGTGAATAACACTGTCTTGGACTCTCCAGAACAGCGGGTCCACCTGAACACCAACGAGTGCCCTCTGTGGATGCCACGTGAAACAGAAGAATCACACAACCACACCCTGCCCGAATTCCTGAGATATAACAAAATGATTGTTGTTTTAAGCCGCTAAGATTTGGAGCAGTTTGTTAAAGCAGCAAGAGATAACTGGAGCAGCAATATAAAGGAAAGAATGTATTTTGGAGTCAGATCTGGACTCAAATTCTAGCTTTATTATTTATTATTATGGGATCACATTATCATATGGTCTTTTCTTAACAAGTTACCAGCTTGTCCTAGTCTCAGTTTCCTCCTGTGTGAAATAGAGGGAGTTATGTCTACCTCCCGGCCTCATTGTGAAGAGGGAATTAGAAAAAAAAGTCTGGCACGTGGCAGATGTTCCATAGCGTTCCTTTCTCCCCTTCTCAGCCTCACCACACCCTCTTCTCTACAGCTTTCTGGGATTCCCATACCGGCTATACCTGTTAAAACCCACCTTTTAAGACTTTGGGGAAAAGCACAAAATTCCGAAAGCATATTCCTCATAAAATGACTGTGGACAACTGCTCTAGAAAAAAAATTATTTACTTGATTTGACTTTCAAAAAATGTACTGACTTGAATAGCAGCTCCACTTTAATAAAGAATCTGGGAAGGAAATACAGAGGAAAAGGGAGTTACAAAGAGAATTAGATTTTTAAAAAAGCTCTCTTATAGTCCACAGGCTATCCATTTTTATTTAAAGGTATCAGAAGCAGGAAAAATAATAGGGGCCCTCTGTGCCCGTGGAGAGGGTGGGACTGTCATATCCAGAAAGTAGAAGTGGCCTGCAGGCGGAAGGCCTTTCTCCCTTGGTCAGCCATCCCAAAGCTGCCCAGGTGCTGCAGGTGCCTATCCATGCACCGTGGCTCTGGGAACTGCTACAGAGGAGGCTCCGGAGAAGAGGCCCAGACACGGACATTTGAATGATTCATGCAATCCAAACTGCTTGTGCTTTCAAAGCCTTTGCTCACGTTTACTTGGAACAATTAGCTGAAACAGGAAATTTATGAGCAATTGCTCCCCTTGCTCCCATATTTCAGGCAATGTTCTAGTCTAGACACCAAGCCACAAAAAGTCGCCCTTTCTTCACTGTCTGCAGCTATTTTCACAAGCTTTACCTCTAAGGAGCTCATCTTCCATTCAGACCTGGGGCCGGGACTCACCTGCTTTGCCTTCCACACTCCCCTTTGCTCTTATCCCTGTCTCAGACACCTGTGAGAGATAATCGCACATCCAGCCTGTCCATTAGGCTCTGACCTGAGGTTTGGACGCCTGCTCCTTCCTTGTACATTTGTGTAAATTAGGCTGGATCCTTTGGAACTGGAGCTATCTAGTAACTCAGGAACCATGTCCAGGAAATTCTAAACACTTGGACCTCGGACAGGCCTGGATCAGTTCATGGCCAAATAAGTGACTGTGGCTACTATGTGTACGTACAGTGTCTATAAAGCACTTTTGAAGTTACACTTATTTAAACCTCACACTTCTCCTGTGAGGTAGGAATTAATCTCATTTTATGGAGGGAAAACTGAGGTTTGGAGAAATTATGCCCAAAGTCATAAAGCTACTAAGGGACAGGGCTGGACCTCAAATTCAGATTGTTTGGTTCCAAATCCAGTGCTCCCCACCATTTCATTCTGCTTTCTGATTATGATCAATCCTATTAATTAACTCTTTTTCTGGACCTGGGTTGGATTTTCAGATAGGCAAGCATGATCTCTTCCTACGAAAACACCCAGCATTTTGGCTGGAGAACTGACTGTAGGGCACTACAACCACCCCGATTATTATCAACACAGCTGTCCCCATATTCCAAACAATTTGCCGTGAGTTTTTAAGAGGTAATAAGAGTTACCATTTATGGAGTTCATTCCAGATGCTAGGTCCTGTGCTAGTCCCTTTACATACATTATCCCATTTAATCCTCACACTGTCTCTCTCAAATAGGTATTATTCTTCCCATGGTGCAGATCAGGAAACTGAGGTTCAGAGAGATCAAATAGCTAGAGCTGTGAAGCTGGAATTCAAGCTGGGTCTTGACATAAGTCGTGGGCCTCCTGCACGCTCCATACCTACCCCTGCCCCCCAGCCCTGAGTCCCTGCTTTGCCTATCAAGGGAGACAGAACTGGGCCCTTTAGCTTCTGTCCCAGAAGGCTGGTACCATCTCCTTCTATGGGTACCTCAAAGGGGATTTCCTAGGTAGAACAGGGTTCCAGTAAGGGATGGAGGAGAGGAGTACAGTGCTGGTCAGACCCCAAATGGCGTTGTTCACTATACAACTACTAAAGGAGCTTTGATAAAATGCACCTCAGTGAGGAGTCCAAGTCAGTCCCTCTGGCACAGCATGCCATAAGGAGCTTCTTCTGCTCATTAGCACTACAGTGTGGTTTATAGGAGCATTCCCACAAGATGAAGTCCATTCGTAATCTGGGTCTTTCTCCAATGCCAAGAGATCTGTGTTCTTGCCCTCCCCAAACTCCCTTTTCCTACCTCAGTGTGTCTGTAGGAACCCAGAAACCCATTTATCCTCTGGAAAGGGGGGAAGTTGTTATAACAATATGAAAATGGGTGGTCTTTATCTCTATGTCAATACCAGCTCACCAAGATGGCAGGTTTGTAAGGAAGTCTTAAGTGACGAGTCTCCAGCATCCCACCCCCTACCCTAGTGGTCACTTCAACCAAGCAGGAAGCCTGAAATTGTTTCTCAGAGGATAGATCCCAAGCTTTGTCCATTTTTCATCACAGGCCTGTGTGGGAAATCTTCAGTAGACTCTTGAGTTTGACAAGGAAGTTCTTTATTTAGTGAGGATACCTCAGAGTGAACTGGTTTTCCTTATCCAGATCCTACCGGTAGCGATTTCTAAGCAAGAAGATCAGCATAGCAACAATTAGGCCAATCACAAATAAATCCCAGTACGGTCCAAGGGTGTTGTCCAATTTCTTCCATTTCCGTCTCATTGTAAACTGCTGACAAGAGACATTCTGTCAAAAAAAATCTAAGCATCCCACTCCATTCAGGACCATCATCTCCCTCCATCCCACCACCCAAGAGTAGCTCATTGTAGTTTTCAGAGATTTGGGACTTATTTGAGACAAACTTACATTAAAAAACAGGATATCTTGGAGCAAATGCACAGTTTCCAGTCTCATGAGGGCAAAGAACACGGGTATGCGAGCATCTGGACTTGTTTGAGCAGCCATATCATATAATCTCCTGGCCAAGTGAATGTCCTAGAAATAGAACAGCCCATATTCATTACGTACAGATTCTTTAGGGGTAAGTAAACAAAAGCTATTGTTTGAAATCTCATAATTTATCTTTGATTGGCAGAAATGGCCTCCCAAAGATGTTCATGCCCTAATCCTTGGAACCTGTGAATTATGTTATGTTACATGGCAAAGGGGACTTTGTAAATGTAATTAAGGTTACAGACCTTCAAAAAGAGAGATTATCCTGCATTATATGGGTGGACTCAATATAATCCCAGGAGCCCTTAACCACTGAGTTTTCTCAGAGCTGAGGGCAGAAGAGAAAGTCAGAGATGTGGCAGAAGTCAGAGATTCTAAGCATGGGAAGGACTCAACTTGCCACTGCTGGAGAGGCCATTTGGAAAGAATGAGAAGGAATGCTGACAGCCAGCAAGGAAATTGGGCCCTTTGTACTAAGGGCAAGAAACTGAATTTGGCCGACAACCTGAATGAGCTTGGAAGCGAATTCTTCTCCAGAGCCCCCAGTAAGGAACACAGCCTTGGTTTCAGCCTGTGAGACGCACACAGAGGACTCAGTCAAGCTCATCCAGATTTCTGACCTACAGAAACTGTGAGATAGTAAATGTGTGTTGTTTTAAGCCACTAAATTTGTGGTAATTTGTTGCTTCAGCCATAGAAAACTAACAAAATCTCCAAAAAGCTTTCTTGGATACTGTTAGACAAGATCTTAGGTAGAACTCCAATTAAAGGGCAGGAGAAAACTAGACACTAAGAGTACAGCTCCCAAAGCAATATAAGACAGATACTAATGAGCATTTAAAATTCCTTGTTTCCTTCACAGTCCTTATCATACTTGAAGTCATGAATTTGTTTATCCATTTGTTTTCAAGGACCTAGACTACCTGTTCTCCCCTGACTTCCCAATGTTAATGAAAACCCAGTACATGGTAAGTCTTTGATAATCCTTGTAGAATGGATGAATAAACTATTTTGTTCTCAGGCTGGAATTTGATTCCTCAAATGACATACTATATTTTTTGGGCCTTTTTTTCCCCATTAAATTATGCCATGACACATAAATATTTTTTCTTTCATTTTCACCTACTTCTAGGGTTTGTTTTTTTTTTTTTTTGGTTTGGTTTATTTTTGCTTTGTTTTCCCAAACAGAGTAATGAAAAGGCTGAGTAGAGCTGCTTTTAAAAGTTGAAGTGCCCTGGGCCAGTCTCAGATTGTACTTTGCTTGGGCACCTGTGGGTTAGTTTCAGAAGAAGAGGAAGAAGACAGATTTTTCACAAATTGTGATCATCCCATATCTCTTTGTCTTTCTTCTCCATCTCCCAGACCTCCATTACACAGAGTTCAATAGTTATGAATCCTTGAGGCTTCTGCTAAATCCATTTGTTGGGTAGTATCCTCTCTCAGCCATGTTCTGCTTGTCATTTCTTAAATTTTCCCAAGGCTTTGTGGTCTGGTAAGTTGATTTGTTGGAGAAAGAAGAATGTTCTTGCTTAAAATACTTAAAATTCAGGAGATTGTTCTGAACAAATTTTCTTGGCAATGGAGAAAATAGATGCTGTAAAAATTCTAATTTGTTTCTCTAATTCCAACAAATTCATTGGTGTTCATCTGAAAGCACCCTGCAGATTATAACGACTGTGTCACCCCTTCATAGGAAAGGCATATTGACTTGAATAGGATATTCAGTGATAGGCAGCCTTTGTCAATATCTCAGGCATTCATTCTTATTTGAGGCTGGTGATAGTTATTAATTTATTTCTTGAGGCACAACATCACTATTCAGTCATTTGGTTTATAATAAAAAATAGCAACAAGTATCATTAAAATGGGCTGACATGAGCTCACTCCTTGCCCAGGTGGCCTCACAATTCATGGTGGGGGTAGGTTGGGATAGGAGAGTCTTTCTTTCAAATTCCCAGAGAAAGGAATTCCTGAACGCTTCTGGCTAATTAGCGCAACACATAGAAAAGAAAGTTTATTACTAAACTCTAGAAAAGACTCCTGGTTTTTTTGATCCTGTTTAGTAAAAAAACCAAATAGTTCAAAGAGTTTCTTCTCAATAAATGGTGTTTTGATGATGGCCAGTGTTCATTAAATAAGTCCATTGCACAACTAGTCCACTTCCATTTAACTTTTCTGTGTGCATTTGAGTTTATTTTGCTTTAAATGCAGTGATTTAGGAGATTAGGTAAACTGATCTGCAGACTCTTCTTAAATAGTATCTTTCTCACTAAAATGTCAGGTGTGCCAAAATCCTGCCCAATGTTCACATGTTCAAAATAGCTTCTTATAATACAAAGATACAGAATTCTCCAGCAATAAAGTATCTGGTTTATGAAAATTGTTCAATTACATGATGCAGGAGTTTTCCAGCCCCAAAATCTTTGGGTGTCATGAAAAATTTCTTATAATGGGATAGAGGTAGTTTTTAAAAATAATTTACTCTTGTTTTCTTCTTATTAATATACTCTATGTTGATTAGAGAAAACTTTGAAAATATAGAGCTGAACACATAAGAAAAAAAAATACCCACAATCTCACTGTACAGAGCTAACTACTGAGAATATTTCATATACACCCTTCCAGCATTCCAGCATTTTTATATATATTCATATATACATACTTTTAATTTAGGAATTTTTCATTCTACATGATATTTTGTCTTCTGCTTTCTTAACCTAACAATGTTTTTCAAACAATATACCATGTCCTAAGATATTCCTTTGGTCTGCAATGTTTTTATTTTTAATGATTTCATAGTCATTATTTTTAATGATTTTATAATAATAAGCTAATGCTTATTAAATATTTACTGTGTGCCAGTCACCACTTTCATTTATTTAAACCTTATGACAGTTCTATATGGCAGATAATATTATTGACTCCATTTTAAAGATGAAGAAACCAAGACACAGAGAGGGTAAGTTACTTACCCAAAATAATATGCCTTCTTTTTTGGAGCGTTTTGGTTGTTTGTCGTGCTTTTTTTTCTGTAATAAATAAATCTATACACACAAAACATTTTTTGTGTGTTCCTGATTATTTCATTGTTATAAACAATTATTTCAATAAAGGTTATGACCATTTCTAAGAGGTGTGTATTCTGTCCTGTCACATTTCTGAGAGGGCCATTTTAAATATCTAACTTTAACCTATCCTTTCCAAAAAATGATTCTATTCTGGTGTTTAAAGCTTCACTTCTAAGACTCCATAGGTGGTCAGATGAAACAAATGAGAAATAAAAATCCTTTGTGCCATAATTACTTTTATTTTTGGCAAGTCTATTTATAATTTATTCAGTGGCTCTGGTTTTGTTTTTCCTGCAGGATCCAAAAAATGTGCTATCTAATAGGTCTAACTATATATATATATTTGAAACTCATCTTTAAGCATAATTTCCCCTCACCTTTTGTCTTGATTTAGGATAGATTTCCTAGTCATTATCTTAAAACATACATGCTTTCTTCCATTTAAAAAGATTGTCACGTGTTTCTTATACTCCATGTTACAAAAACATTTTATAACAAGATCCACTAGTACTGATTCCTCCACCCAAATTAATTGTTCCCTCTTCAGCATATTTTAGTACTTTATTTGTGTTTGCATGCATGCGTGCCATTTGGACTTTCACTATAGCTACAGACTTGTCTTTTCCATAGTAGACTGTGAGCTATTTGAAGGCTGTCTTGTTCTTCTTGTATCTCCAGAACCAAGCCCGGTGCTTCCTGACACAAAACAAGCACTTGATAAATATTCGAGTGAATAAATGAATGAATAAAAAGCAAGGCACAGCACCACAATAGTTTAGAGGCAGGTATCTTTAAATCTGGAGGTTCATTGAAGGGTTCATTGAAGGGTAGAGGAGATGATATTAGAGTTATTCTTTGAAAAATGGATTGGTCTTCAGGGCAAAAATGTGGGAGAAGATCATTCCAGCAAATGGGATGATATGACCAAAAGTCAGGAGGGTTCAGTTCAAGGCCTTTGAGGAGTAAGGAAAAGTAGCCTAGAAGATACAGAGGGAAATAGTGGCATATCTAGCCATTATTATCAAGGTAGGTTAAGTTAAGAGGGTTTTAAATGCCAGAGTGGGAAGTCTGGACTTCATTAGGCAGTAGAAAATCAGTAAGATTTTTTTTTTATTTGTGTGTTTGGTTGTTTGTAATTTGTGTGTATGTGTGTGTGTTTGGGGGAGTAAGGTAGAGGAGTAACAGTACCAGAGTTGAACTTCACCGTGAATAAGCTGGTAGTGCTTTGTTAGATGGATTATGTATTACAAGGTAATGCTAACATCTGTAACAATTAAACTCCCAAATTTCAGTGGCTAAGCACATTCAACATTCCGATGTGGGTGTTCCCGGTTGGTGGTGAATGTTCTTCACGTGGTAAGTGAGAGACTCAAGCTCTTTCTACTATGAGGTTCTGCCATACCCTAAAGCCTCTGTGTTTTCTGCATTCAGCCAGTGGAAGGGGAAAGAGACTAGGGAGAAGCTCCATCTACTTCTTAACTGCCTTAGCCCAGAAATGACACCCTTCACTTGTACTTCCTTTCCTTTGGTGAGAACTAGTCACATGGATGGAAAGGGAACTGAGAAATGTAATCTCTGACTAGGAGACACATCCCAGCAACAAGTCCTTCCTGTGGATTGGGGATTACAAATCTTTGGTGGACAGAGCTATCTCTGCCTCAGATTTAAAGGAAGAACACTAGAATGAGAGACCTCTGAGAATTCTTTATGATAAGCCTATGTGAGTAGAAATTCAGGCCTGTACCAGGGTACAGACAGAAGGAATAGGCAGGAGGGGATGAGGAACAGGTTTCCTTCATGGTTAAGTGCCTGAAGTACTTCTGAATCAAGTAGAAATTGACAAAGAGTTTCATAACAACTTGTGAGCTGAGTGCTTATATTTCTAAACTAGTTCAGGTCCTCTCCCAATTTCTCCCAGGTATTATTTTGTGTTTCCAGAGCTACGCTGCAGTCAGTCCTGAACCACAGTTTAAGTCAATAAACCCATTGAGCTTAATTGGAAGTCAGGCACTGGGGAATGAGATGCTTCTCAGTGAAGCTTTTAGAATAACTCACCTACATCACCCTAATCCAAATGTTCTCTCCTTAGGACAGATGAGAATGAAACTGAGAAGGAAGAAGTTAAAAAATCTTCCCTAGAGGGGCTGGCCCCGTGGCCGAGTGGTTGAGTTCGCGCGCTCCGCTGCAGGTGGCCCAGTGTTTCGTCAGTTCGAATCCTGGGCGCGGACATGGCACTGCTCGTCAAACCACGCTGAGGCAGCGTCCCACATACCACAACTAGAAGGACCCACAACGAAGAATATACAACTATGTACTGAGGGGCTTTGGGGAGAAAAAGGAAAAAAATAAAATCTTAAAAAAAAAAAAATCTTCCCTAGAGCAAAAAACTTTGAGATAAGCTTTGCTAACTGCAGCTGTGCGTACTCAACATAATCAACTGTTGTTCAAAACTAACCAGGTCTTTCCGTCCCTCCTTGGTATATGAGTGAGCTGTCTTTCCCAGGAAGTCAAGGTCCAGACATCAAGATTCAGCCTTACAAGGCCAAACGCAGGCTGAAGATGAAAACTAACCAGAAAAGTCCGGAGAGTCAAGGGAAAAGAAATTTGGTGTTCAAGGCCAAACGCAGGCTGGTGGGAAGGCGCCAACTAGCAAGGCCACATGCTCTCCCTCCCCTACCTAAAACCACAGACAAAAAGCTTTACCTTTTTCCCTCTGTGGAGGTGGATCTGAGTTTTAACTCCCATCTCCTGTCTGGCTGCCTTTCAATAACAAACCCCCTTTCCTTGCCACAAGCCTGGCAACCAGTTTTCTTTTGGCCCCTCTTGTGTGGTGGGTAAATGAACCTGTGTTTATATTCAGTAACAAGAACAAGAGTGACCCAGATTTTTACACTGATTCACCAAGAGTTGATTTATACCTTACTTCCTTCTCCCAGAGCGCTTAAATACGGAGTTTACAAAACCTGATTCCACACCACACCTTTTTTGATTCTCAGAAAATCCTAATAATGTTATACTCATCTTTCCCACTGATTTGCATGAGGATTAACTCATAAAGAGGATCATGAAGTGCCTTGCTGAAGAAATGCTTACTTAGTTGATGACTTCTGTGCTGTGAAAGCCTATTCTCCTAAATGCTTTGCTTTTATTAACCATCACTGGAACAAGCCTTGGACTTTTAATTATCAGCCTATTCATTTTAAGAATTAGAAAAGGTGGTATCTCCTCATTAATTTGACTATGAGATGGCAAGATTAGTAAACTTGGTCCCTGGGTGCTCAGTTATTATTTTTCTAATTGCTAAACAAAGAAATTAATAAAGACAAAGAGCAAAGGCCCCTCATTAACTAAATCTAAAATTCCCATATCCAGGTCTGAGGTTAAGGGCAGCCCCTATTTTTTTTTAAATGTAGAGGCTTTCTGTAGGAAAAAATATACCTGTGACTGATCAAAATGAACTACCCATGATTTAACAGGAACCCTGACAGAAAAGCACAGCAATCTGGCCAGAGAGAAACTTCAAAGTTTTTTCTAAACAGATGAAATGTATGTCTTGACAATTGCTATCTGACATTGTGATGAAAGCCCCTAGGAAAGAGATCGGTGGGGACTCCAAGGAGGAATATCAAACCCTCTGACATAGTGGGCCAACTGGGCGCTGGCAGACAGTGTCCTCTCCTGGACGTTGATCGTGTGTCCTGAGAAGACGCCCCTTCCTTCCTCCCTGGACTGGAGGCAAAATGGCCTCACTGCGGTGAGGATGAGGCTGTCAGGGGGCCAAGTCAGGACAGGAGAACTAACTTGAATTTAACCCACGAGGTAGGCTCATTTTTATCCTTTATACAGACAATGCTCCTCTCACCACTATTATGTTTTACATGGGGAGTGGGGAACAAACGCTTTAATCTTATTGAAGCCTTACTTAGCGCTTGCTCAAATTCTCTTCTGATCTGAGTATCAGTCATTCCATACAGTTTGACTACAAAGCCCTTTCACAAAAGCTTATTCGTTTTATCCTCAAAGCCTGGGGCAGGGCAGGTATCACTGTTCTGTTTTACAGATGTGGGAGACGGTTGGAGAGGAGCGAGGTGTGGCTAAATGACATCCAAAGAATCATCCAACTTAGCTATTTGGTCCAGTCCCAACTCCCGCCCCCCTGCAAATTTTATAAACGCAGGAAGCTTACACTTGCTAGGAATGGGGAAAACAGACTGGATTTGGATTTGATATTCTTTCCACTGCTTAGGGTGCTGGGGCTTTTGGAAAGTAATGAGCTGAAAGGCAGACCACAGGAGAGCACAGGAAGGTGGGGATCTCTACCGCTGGATTGTTGGTACCTGAATAAGAAGCCCTTGGTTGCAGCATGTGCCTTTAGCAGTTGTCAGATAGGAAATTCCCTACCAATGATTATCAATTACTACTACAACTAGAAGAAAAGAGAGAATATAGAAAAGCCAATAACCCCCTCATTATTTTGGTCTTGAAATGCAACCAGGAATATAAACAATGAAGTGAAATATACGTTTGAGCACTAGGAATGACTCAGTGCAAGGCCCACTCTTTCCCCCAAAAAACATGGAATCAGACAAGCCGGGGTTCAAATTCTGGGTCCACCACTGATGAGCTCTGAAAACTTGGCCATGTGACAACTTCTCTGCACTTCAGTTTCCTGATGCCTACATTGAGGACAATAAGAGGGATTATCTCATCGAGTGGTTGTGTGATTTAAATGACATAGTATATAACACCACTGCTTGGATATTACTATCATTATTGATATTTAATACACCTTACTTACTCTGTCAGACCAACCCCAATGCCACCTTTGCCTTAATTACAGTTACTGTCTAATGAGTTTACCCAATGTAGTAGTGTTAGATCTTTTTCTTAACGAATATGCTTCATTTCCTCCAGTCAAGCGTAGTCTTTGAAGAATAGAGATGTATTTTCTTGGGCCTCTCTAGAGGGCTCAGCATTGTGTCATGTACACAGCAGGTGTGTCATAAGACATTTCTGGATTAATGCCACCTTTGTATGCAGCTCTGACCTCATTCCCACTTTCTCTTTGTCACTGGGAGTTTGAGAGACAATAAAAATTTTGAGGGAAAAGGCCTGGAGGTGGAAGGGAGTGGGGGCTGGGCCCACTAGTACTGCTGGAAAAAGCATGAACTTATGAGTCAAATTGGCCTAGACTGGATTTATTCTACTTGTTGGTTATGTCGTTGGGCATAAATGGAAAAAATAATTTCTACCTCTTATGGTAAGTAATATGTGTTGGCATGTGAGAGGGACTCAGCAAATGTTAAGTATTTTCTTTCCTTTCTTTACATTGATGACATCAATGAAATGCAAAACATTTATAAATTTTCCCTTCCCATACAGCTGGCATTATGAGATTGGGATTATTACTAACATAATTACCTTTGCAATACCTAAACCGTGTTCATACATGTAGGCCAGATTGAACATGGCTTGTGCATTGTGGTATTTGTCAGCTGCAATGCTGTAATGTGTAGCTGCTGTTTGATAGTCTTTCTTAGTCCCGTAGCCATAGTAATGGTAATCTCCAATTTTTACTCTAGCGAACGCATTGCCTGATAGAAATATTAGAAAGAGAAGAATCATAACTCAAATGATTCACATATAGTTCTTAATAACTCAACCTAATGATAAAATGTATAAAAAGAAAAAAAACCCCTCAGAATCCCAGCATCAGGATGAGATATTTTGTGGAATACAAAATATAACACTCAATGCTAGTGTTTTCATTGTAGGATAACTCTATGGTATAGTAAAAATGTTCTTAAGAACAAAAAATTATAAACTTTACCTTTTGAATTCACTTTTTGAAGTTAGCTTTACTTTTGAGAAACTGGATCTACCCCTCCTGTTCTCAGACTGCACTCCTGAAGTTCTACTTTCCTACATCACCAATTTTCTCCCTCTTTCTTAGGTCAATCCCATCAGTCATTCAAACACACTTTGGTATCTTCTATGAACAAAAACAAACCCTTTCTTTATCCCATGGTGTCTCCTCTAATTACTCCCCGTTTCTCTGTTCCCTCCACACTCAGCCTTTTAAAAAGTGTGTTCTAAACTCATGGTCTCCAAACCTTCACCTCCCACATACTCTTCAACCCACTCCAATCTGGTTTCTGCCCCCTCCTCCACGAAACTGCTGCTTTCAAGGTGGTCAATAACCTCCATGCAGCCAAATCCATTGGCCACTTCTCTGTCCTCATCTCAGAGCACTGAGCACTCCTCCTCTAAGCAGCACTGGAGTCATTGGACCTAGCTGCCCAAGTACTTTCCTCTGTTGACACCAATGACATTGTATTCTCTTGATTTCCCTCCTGCCTCATAGGCCTCTCCTTTTCAATCTCTTGCCAGACACCTCCTCTACCCAACTTCTAAGTTTTGGAATATCAAAGGCTTGTTATTCAGCTCCTTTTCTCCCTTTCTTAGCTCCCTTCTTTTCTCTTCTCCTCCTCTCTCCACCACTCTCATCTATCTCAGCTCTTTTACTAGGTGACTCATCTAGTTCCACGGCAATTTTTATGTTTACTATTGCTGAATTTACACCTATAGTCCTATCTCTCCCCAAGACTCAGACTCTTAGAATTGCCTTCTTGGCTTCCCTACTTGGATCACAAACTTAAAACATCCAGTAGAGATTCCTAACACCTTGCTACCCCCTTCCTCAAATAAAATCGTCAGTTTCTTCCTTATGTCAGTGCCATTACCACCACTGTTCAGGCCATAAATCTAGGGTAATCATTCCAAGTTCTTTTCCCCTCTCTTCCATCATCGAATCTGTCAGGAAGTCCTGTTGGTTCTACTTCTAAAACATACCTGTTTCTTGCCATCTCCTCCACCAACTAGTCCAAGCCTGGAATACTACAATAGCCTCCAAAATGTTCTTTTGTCTCCACTTTTCAATCTATTCTCCACACATCTGCCAAGATGATCTTTTTATCATGTAAAATCAAATCATGTTATTCCTCTGTGTTAAATCCCTCAAGCGCTTCTCTTTGCACTTGGAATAATATCCAGAATCCTTACCTGACCTACAAGTCATGCCTTGTCTGTCTTCTGCCTCCCTGCCTAGCCTAGCCTTATCGCATGCCACTTTCTTGATATGTCCTAGCCTTCTTAATATTCCTTCAACACACTGAGCTCGTTCTTGCCTCCGAATCCCTGAATTAAGATTCTTCAAGTCCCTCTGCCTGGCACGTTTGGAATTCCTCTGACTCTTCATGTGGCTGGTTTCTCATCATTCAGGTCTCACCACAAGTGTCCCCTTTCCTCCTAGAGGCCTTCTCTGATGACCTTGTCTAAAGCATCCCCTCAGCCCTCACCACAGGGGTTATTTATCTCATCTCCATGTTTTATGTCCTTCACAACACATATCACTATCTTATTTTTTTTTATTAGTTTATTTTTTCTCTTTTCGTGAGGGCAGAAACTTTGAAGCTCTTGATCACTGATATAGGTCAGGACTAGAATGGTACTTGATAAGTATTTATGGAGTGAATGGATAGGCATGGTAGGAAACTTTTTAGAAAATGCTTTCCCCAGGTGGTAAGTGTTTTAGAACCTTACTTTCCAACAAGCACGGATATATTCAGGAAGAGAAAAAAATTCATGTGACTTTTAAAGATAGATTCAGTCTTTTGAAGGTCAGTTAGGAATGAATTCTAAGGGTCTCTTTGGGGTCCCTGGTTTCATTCACTAGGATAATATTGATTGAAAAGATGAGAATGCTTATCTAGGACATTCATCTCAGCTGTGGCGAACCCCTCTAGCACAGTCTAGGTTTATTTGGAAAAGGAGGAATTACTCTGTGTGGTATGGTCTGAGGTGTATCATTAAGTGCTATAGGAATTCTTCCAATTTTTTCTCCTCACTTTGCCTACTGCAATGCCTAACATCTTTTGGAATTGATTTTGGGTACTGAAGTTCTTTTACTCATCTAGAATTGTCTACTAAAATGTAATACCACAAGCCATCTTTAGCTCTCTCTGAGTAGAAGTAACATCATAGAATTCTTAAGCTGACAAGGACATTAGTTATCAGGGTTTGCTTGCCAGGTGCTTCCAAATGTACAGGTAGCTAGGGACAAGACCTTACAGAAATGATACCCAGGAGAGGGGCCTGGAGGAGCCCTAAAGAGAAACCCATTCCTTCTCTAATTTTGCCCAAATTTGCCTTACTTTGACCCCAAGATTCCTTCTGGGCCATAACCACAAAAGGACAGGACTTCTGTGCATTTTCAAGTTTTACAAGCAGTAAGCAAGACCCCCGAATTCTCTGAGAATGGAAGGCAGTGAACAAACAGCTCCCCCGGAGGATTCAGCTCCACCCTAATTAGGAGACTGACTAGGGGCATGTGGCAACCCTGACAGGCTCCCAGGGCTCACTTGACAGTGGGAGGGCTTTCCCCTTCAATTTCACAGTCACAGCCTGGTGGCTGAGTCCTGAGGGTTCAGCACCCTTCTCACATGCAGCAGCTGCTGAAAGAAGCACACCAGTGACCGACTGGAAACTTTCATTATTAGATTTCCTAACCTCAAGTGAGCCACTCAGCAGCCACATCTTCGGGGACACTCATGCCTGACCTCTCTTGAAACACATAATTATTTTTAGCAGCCTGATGTTTTCATATTGGTGAATTCTGTTTAATATTAATGTCTCTTTGTTTTCAATGTCTCTTTTCCTTGGTGCAATTTCCACACCATTTCCTGGCTTGGAGTAAACCTGTGTTTGTTGCAAGTAAGCTGATCTGCCATAGCTGAGAGGTTGCTGGTGTTATTTCCTCACTCCAAACAAGGTCTTTATTGCTTTTTAGAAAACATAGACTTTTCTTTTTTAGGGAATTTCTCACTAAAATCACATGGATGGCTTGCTGCCAAATTACCATCTCATCTGGATCTGCAAAGGAACCACTGTGACTTTGCCCTCTGCTTCATATTAGCATCAACTGAAAATCATTTTTTATCCCATTGACTTCTTGTAGAAAAGAGATGATTTGGCCTTAGCATGAGACGATTTTAAGAAACTTAATTGGAAGAGAAATTGCTCTCTTACTGCAACAGGTTCCTCACATATCCAAATGCCTATAGTGACAGCTTTGCAGTATCTCTCTGCTTTTAGTAATATAATTTTAGGGAGAGAATGGAACAAGACATATTGACGCAAATGCCACCTGCCAATGGTTTCTCATCAGTGCTATCTTACATTCCTTATCACGTGTGGTCCCTACAAGGGGACATGGGGACTCCAGGAAAGGGGAGAGGATCTTACCAATTAACTCTGGGTTGTTTTTTTTCTAATGATAGCATGCTAATGGTTATAATAAAGATCTGAAGTTTGTGGTAATTACCAATGTGATATTTTGGAAAAGAAATCAAACAAGTCTTAGATCCATAGGTAATTTCATCTATAAACTCATTGAGACATAGGTCATATCTCTGATAAGTTGAGAAAAAACTCAGCAAAGGAGTGACTAAAACTAGACCAAGAAAATTGGTTTCTTGAGTAAAATTATCATGTTTTGAACAACTGTTCTGGTGCCATGGAGACATAGCCATAGAAAACTTTCTATGGTTTGCTAAACTAGGGACTTTGAGAATAACAAAGAAAAGAAAATCCTGCAAATGACCTCTAAGTGAAGACTGACCCTAACATCAGTACAGTTCGAAATATCACCTGCTTGGTTTTCTGCACCTTTCTGCCTGTGTGCCCAAGAACTCAGCTGGAGCATATCAGATGAATAATAGCAGATGGGGACCAGGTATGTGCTCATTTTTCTCTAGCTTTAATACCTTGAATGGCAGCTCGATTCCATAGGAGAAGTGCCATTGGGTACATCTTCTCTTTTTCAAGAATTTTAGCCTTTTCTGAAAAAAGGAAACATTTCATTAGTAAGGCTTAAAATGCCCCTATAGTAAAGTCATACAAACATTTGTGTGATTGGGGAATTGCAGAGAATTTTAACTTATCTTACTAGATTCCAAAATGAATGCTGAATTGCTTTGGGCTACTTCATACCCCATTTCTGCAAGTAGTGCATACTGAACAAGAGAAGAATCTATATCACCATCCTTATAGGCAAAGTATGCTGTCAGGAATTTCTCAGCCCAGTGGCCTAGTTCACAGACACCTTTATAAAGCTGTATGTGGGAAGAGAAACCAAGCAGATGAGTTAGCCAATATACTTCATCCCACGTAAATGATAAATGACATCAGTCTTCAGCTCCTGCTGGCTGGTCAGACAAGGTTTTAGGTCTAAAGAGTGGCTTTTGCAAATTATTTGGGTTGAAAAGTTAATACTTTTCTTAGGCACAAAGATTACAAGTGTGTAGTTTTTGTTTTGAGCTGAAACTTGCTGAGGTTTATTTTAAATTTGCATAATAAACTTTCCTGACTTGGAGGCTATTTGACAAGACAAGAATGTACTGACTTCTGTTTTTAAAAAAAGGGAACTTTCTGGGCACTGCTGCTCTGTGAGGGTGAGTTATAAGGCTGCAGCTGATGAGGACAGGAGAGAATTAAGGGAAGCTAGTGCTGGAGGGTGCAGGTGATGTAACTGTGAGGGAGGTATGCAGAGCTCTACGAGGACAAGCGTCAACCTAGCTGAATAGCCCTTATGCAACCAAAAGAGGTTAGCCAGACATAATTCACTAGGAATTTGGCAAAGGAACAAATCTAAAGATAGATTACTAGCTGGTAGCTTTTCAAATGAGTTTCAGAGGGGCCAGATTGCAACATGGAGGTATTTATATTGGTGCAATGGAAGTGTTTAATAAATCAATGAAGGGCATTAAGGTCCTAAAAGCATTCTTTTTGAAAACTACATCACTGGCTGAAGCTGAGAGAACTCACTTTCTCAGTTGTCATCCAAATCATCAAAAACTTAAGGACCTTGCTTTCTGGGAAGAAGTGGGCTACATTTTCTAGGCTAAATCAAGCCTTTCATTTCCAGAGTTGCAACTCCCAATCTCACTAGAAGTGACAGATTGCCCTGGTGATTTGATTGAAGACTGGAACAGAGCTCCTTAGCTAAATTCTGAAGCGAACTCAGAACTCAAGGAAAAGCCAGATGAAGAGAGGAGGGATCATTTCTCTTCCTCCTTTTCCCAGTCTGAGTTGCATTACTGCTATTCCTCCCTGGCAAATGTGAGTGTTCACATCGTCAACTGGAAGAAAAGAGATAATCTCTATAAAATCAAAGGCATCAACAATTTAAGGACAGTATCACCTCCTCTGTATGATAAATGAAAGGTACTTTAAAAACAGCCCATTATTTACCTCCACAGCAGTTCTGCACGATCTTAACACTCCTGTTCCTGTTGCATACATCTCGGCCAGATAATAAATGGCGAGGGGCTGCCCACTCTGAGATGCCAAGTAAAAATATTTGAAGGCAAGTTTATAGTCCTTCCATACTCCAGAGCCAGCTGAAAATTAAAATTATTTTGAGCCATCCCTTATTTATTTTACTTTTTACATTATAATCTGTGGATATAATGGTCAGAGTGATGTCTGCTATTTTAAAGAGGATGGGAAAAGGTAACCAAAAGTCAAGCTACTCTAGATCCACTATTTGGGGGGAAAAATGTTGAATTCAATTATAAGTAAGAATATGGAAATTTATGTTCTTGACCCATTCAGAAAACTGAAAGAGAAGGACAATTTAGTCTCTTGAAAATATCTCTTCAATACGGCATAACTAAAGTTAATGAAAATGAGACCAAATAGTGGTCTCTGAGGACCAGAAGCCCCACCATGATGTGTTTCACCATTCTTGTCATCCTTCCACACCAGAAGACCAATCCAGCTCCTCCCAGCCATAACAATGGAGTTTGGCAAATCCTGGCTCGAAGAGGCCCAGCTCAGACTCAATTCATAACTGGAGCAAGGAGAGGTATCTGGAGCTAGGGTGGAGAAATCAGCATACTCCCAGCAGCTGAGACTCTTGTCCTGGCTCTCCCAATATTCCTTTTGTCAGTTGGGCATGTCTAGGCACTTCATCTGCAAAAGGAGAGGCTTGCACTATATGGTCCTTAAATTGCCCTCCAACTTGAACATTTCTCGGCCTTTAGAAGCCGTGCCATGTTGCAGCTAAGAGCAAAGGCTCTGGAGGCAGATCATTTGGATTTGAATCCCAGTTCCACTAACTGTGTGATCTCGGGCAAGATGTTTGACCTCAATAAGGCTCATTTCCTCATCTATAAACTGTAGGATATCCTCTAGCTGTGTTGAGAGGACTAAATGAATAAATACATAGAAAGACTTAATAAACATGAGCCATTACTATTACTCTCATTCTAGAAGCTTGAGGAATCTGATAGATCCTGGGCCTGGGACTTGGAATGAACTAGAAGAATAAGGCCAACTTAGGCAACGGTACAGAACAGTACAGGACAAGCTCTGCCGCTAGACTACTGCAGAAAATGCCAGCTGACGTCTTGGCCAGAACTGACCTCCTTGATGATGCAGTCTGCTGCTGCCCCAGCTCCACCTCTGACAGGGAGGACTTAGCAAAGATACTCAGGTATGTTCAGATCTCCTGGTACTTGTCTCGGCCACTCCCTCCCTCAGTCCCCACAGAAATTACCTGTACCACCCTGTCCTCCCTCTCTCCAGTCTTTGAGGGTGACAAATCCCTCCTCTTTATGAAGGCTAATGAGGCCTCCACTTACCTCAGCCCAATCAGATTCTAATGCCACCCAACTTTTTCCAGAATCTCTTCATCAATTATCTCATCTCTCCCATGATATCTTAGCCACCTCCATTTGCTGACTCTCTTTTTTCTGCCGAAAATTATACTTAGGTTTCTCACCATCTTCAAAACAACTCTCTCCTGGTGTTTGGTCCCCTTCATGCTACTATTCTATCTCTCTCCTTCCATTTAAAGGCACACTGTTTCCAAGAATAATTTCACGCATCTATTTGCTCACCTTCCATTCACAACTCCACCCATCGTGTCTGGTTTCCACCCCAACCAGTCCAAACACCTTGCAGAAATCCTCCATATTGACAAATTCCGTGGATACTCAGCACTTTGTTAATCTTTTTTGAAACTGAGAACCAGGATTCTCACTGCATTTCACAGGGGTGCTCATTCATTTACTCTCTCTTGAAGGTTCTATTCCTTGGCCTCCTTAAGATCCCCCTTTTGCCCTATTCTTCCGACCATGCCTTTTCAGTCTTCTTGTGAACACTCTTTCTCTGCCCATCTTTTCAATACAGCACCAAGGACCACAAGATTCCAGACCATGGCCCACTGCTCCTTCCTCCCACACTCTCTCTCCCTTTGCTGTTTCAGCTACTCTTAACTAATACCTGTATGTTGATGCCTACCAAATCTTTCTCTCCATTTTTGACCTTTCTTGTGAGTTTCATATTTTGCCTCTGGGTATCTGCATTGGATATCACAAGGCACTTCAAACTTAACGTTTTCAAAGATGAGCTTCCTGATTGCATCTCCCTGTCTCCTCCCCCAGCTGGGGTCCTTTCCTTGTGTCTTCTTCAAATTCCTCCTTAAACTGCTGCCTGAATGTTCTATCTGAACCACTCACACCAATCCTCTGATTTTTGTTAAGAAAGGAGCAGACAATAATACATTTTTCATTCTAAGTAAAGTAGCCATATTTGTAGCACTTACAGTAGTACATGAATCCTAACTGAAACTGTGCATTAGGCCATCCTTTCTCTGCAGCTTTCTGAAAGTATTTAAGTGCTTCAGCATAGTTCTGTAAGATAATTACACTCTGTTACTCAAAGGTACATTATAACTCCATAGTAACAATTGCCTTCCACTTTTTTTACCAGTATAGATACTGCCTTATTAATTTAGGCTAAATAAAATAGTATCAGAAGTATTATACATATTATTTCATTATTGTATTGGATTCTATTAGGAAATAATTATCTTATTTTCACTATAAATTACATCTTTTCCTACATTGACAGTAGGTTTCGTTAGATATTGGAGGAAGGTCTCTCAAAACACAGAGGTTAAACTAAGATAAATTTCTCTATCAAAAAAATCCTCAGAGGTTAGATGATTTCTAAGGTTACTTAGAAACTATGATTCTAAGATATAATTAGGGTTGTGATTCTTGTCACAAGCTTGTTCTTTGGCAAATATTTCACTGGATTATTTTATTCCCTATTATCAGATATGATAGTTTGGCAAACCAGGTAATTGAGACTAATTCCTTTGAATTAATCAATGATCATGAATTTAACCCCATAAATTGCTAGAAATATGTTGAAAAGATAATGAAATTCTTTAACTTACCACGGGAACTCCTTTCCCATAAAAGTAAAGAAGACCGAGCCCATGAAGACCAATTGCATTGCCCTAGAACAGTTTTAAAAATCCAAGTAAAGTCCCAGAAGGATTTATGACAAGGCAAATTACTGCAAAATCGTTCCAAGTATTTGAAATGCTCCCAGTAGGAGCTTAATCAAGGCAGGTGAATCAGGCAGTTGGCAAGTTCCTCTGACCCTCTCTAGGTTCTCCTTTCACACTTTCCTAACCCGCTCTGCCTACGAAAGGCATGAGGGAAGGGAAAGTCAAATCTTTCCTCCACACTCTCATTCAACAATTATTTGGTGCTTGCTTTGTGTGTGACTCCATAATAGGCACTGGGCAGAGGTAGGAGGTGAATGGTAAAAGATGAATAAACCATTATCCCTGCTTTAGAGAATTCATAGGCTCTGACTCATTAGGGAGGACCTTTTAAAGAAATCATATCAAATTCAGCAAGTCCTATGGTAGAAACAGATTGAGAGTGTTGTGAGCACCTAGAAGAGGGACACTCAATTGCCTAGTTGAGGCTAGGGACTGAGGGGATTGTGTTGTCAGAGGTGGTGACATTTGAGCTGGGTCCTGAAGGATGTGTAGGAGTTTCCCAGAAGAGAAAGGTCTATCCAGACACTTGTTACCTGCTTTGCTCAAAAAAGATTGACATAAATGGCCAAATAACATTTAGAAACTGTGAATTTCAGTCGAGCCATAATGGATGGTAAGGCACTGTTGGTATATGTTTCCTTATTCAAATTTGACTGCTTATAACATCATCATGTTTTCTTTTCCACTTGATGCTAAATTAGTTACCATTTCTTTTTCTGATTAGTATTCTGAATAGTCTAGGGAAGGGAATATTTAACACATTTAGCATTTAGCACATGTTCAAATATATTGATATTTAGCATATCAATCCTGGATGAAGAGTGAACATTGAAAGGTTCCAACCAGAAAAGTCACTTTTTCTTTCTATCTCCCATTGTGCATTTTACTCTCTAATGACAGAGTAAGGAGCCACACTTGGCTGCATGGCTTTGATTCAGTGGATCTGTAGGTTTGTTTTACAGATTTATAGTATTTCCTCAAGAACTTAAGTTCTGATAGAAAATTCTCCAAATTTCTTCTTGCGACCTAAATTTAGTTATTGTGGATGCAGCCAGAGTACCCGTCAGTGATACAGGAATAGCACATAACCAGAGCACATAGTTCAAAAACTATCTGAATACTCCAAAGTTTGAGCCTATGCATATAAAAGGGCCAGCTATTGTCAGGATACTTAAGGACAATCCATCTGTATTTAAAACAATGGCATACCTCTGTTCCCTTCTTCCCTCTTTTCTCCTGACTACATTTACCTGTTGTCCTAGGAGGCTTGGGATAGTCCAGTCTGGGGGTAGGAAGGCCTGGTGTGGTGGATGTGGTAAAGTCTAGTGAGTCTGGTTTCTTCTAACTATCATCATTTAGGTGTTGAGAAAAATGGAAGTGAAGGGAAATGAGAGGAGGGAAGGAAGAAGGGAGAGAAGAAGGAGGAAGGTTAGAATAGTGGGGACAATTACTTTCCTTCTCTAAGAGAGTCACTGGGAAACCAGGGGTTCATTGGATGACTCACCAACCGTTTAAGACCCAGAGCACCTGTTTAGAACTTTCAGGTCAGGAGTAGCCAATTCAGGCCCTCCAGCAACCATGCAGTAATACAAGAAGTACATTAGACCAGTGATGGAGGGAGTGGTGGAGACTGAGGCAAACCAGAGAGCACCTGCCCTATCTAAAGGCAGCAGCAGCTCCTCAGCTCTCTGCTCCAGCCAGTTGTTGCCACACGGAATGGCAGCCTCACATGGTCAGCTTTTCTCATTTTTCAAGAAAAGGTGCTTGTTCAGATTTTGATATGAAATTTCCTAATGTTTGAAATACTTTCTGGGTCAAACAAAACATATGTATAGGCAATCCTCCCATATATAACTTCTACTTTAGGGCTCAGTGCTCTTGCTTAGGTTAACCGACATGAACTCAGGGAGCAGATAGTCACTTATTTGGCAAATATTTAATGAACCCACACTGTGTGCTAAAACTCTTGCCCTCCTCTAGTCGAGGAGACACGGCCTTCAGACAGTAGGAGAGAAGGCACAAGATAGAAGCAGTACATACAGTAGACACAGGGCAAGTTCAGAAGAAGGAAAAGATTATGTGAGCCAAGGAGAGTAGGGATGGCTTTGTGGAGGGAGAGAGGACTGAGCTCTGCTCTGGGGGATGGGTAAGATTCAGAATGGGGGGTTATGGGAAGGGAGGGGATGAGACAAGACTGTGGAGATGGGGATGGGCCTGCTGTATTCAGAGGTGTGAGAGAGAAAACCAGAAGAATATGGCCCAATATGGGCCCAACATCACCTAGGATAACTGTTCATGTTTCTGAGTAAATGAGACAAAAGACGTCATAAAGTCTGTAGCTTTGCATCTTGTACTGATATGACTTAAAAAGCAATAGTTCTTTAAAAGGTAGTAGAGTATGGGTGTGTAGAGTGGAAGACAGAAATCCTTTACTTTGATAGTGACCTCAAGTGAGAAATCTAATAAATTGTCCAGGTGATGATAAAGGAATATACGGCCATGTTCCCCTGATGCCGTTCAGAATAATTACCTTAAATAGAGTTGCAGATTTCCTCTGTAAAGAGATGCAGCTCTGGCTTAGAACACAAGTACCTCAGACCACTGCTGGTTACACAGACCTGAATAGCTTGGAAGCTGGGTTGATTTACACACTCAACTTCCTCTCATTATTCCTTTGGACTGACAAATCAGTGTTATTTGCCAGATTACAAGAGATCTTCCTCTGTTCCATTAACCCACCTCTTTTTCACTCTGCTCTCCGTTGTCATCCTAATCTAATGGTACTCCAGATAACTGTCTTGCTGAGCAACAATTTCATATAAATTACAAGGGAGAGGAGTACCAGCCTTCTCAGTAATTTACACAATAGCAGCAGCTCCAAGATGCAAGTCATTTATAAATAGGCTCCTAAAGCAGCAAGTGGGCTTTTAAAAACTGAGAGCAGTTGAAAATATTCCCTGATTTGAGCAGATCTTTACTGCCAGTGTTGCAGCATGATGTAAGACAATGAAATGCTTCAACTGTGCAGGGATAGAAAGTTTACCAAGGCCATTCACCAAGACTAGGCAGATGGGTGTTGCCATGAGGAAGTTCTTCATGCATGAAAGGGATTCAGAGTAGTCTCCTAGGTTTTCTTTGACAGATACCAGTCTCGCTGAGCCTAGGAACCAAGGCAAAGCTTCAATGGCAGGAGCCATATTATACCATTTCTAGATTCCCTCACATATCCAGTCCATTCTGACTTGGATATGCTTTGAAGTTCACTCTACTTAACTGGACCCAGGCTGCAAAAGATACTAGCTGACACATAGCACTTACCATGTGCCAGGCACTGCTGTAAGTACTTTACAATATGAGGCATATAAATATTAACTCGTTACATCCTGACAGCAGCAATATGAGGCAAATCTTATATTCCCATTTTACAAATGGGGAAATTGAAGCACAGAGAGGTTAAATAACTTGCCCATGGTTACAAAGACAGTAAGCTGCAGGGCTAGCATTGAAACCAGGGATTCTGCCTCCAGAGCCAAACTCTCAAACATCTCTTGGTGTCTGCCTCTGACAACCTTCTGCCTAGCCCCGGGGGATTTCTGGCCTTAGGCCTTAGTAGGATTGAACTGGAGAAAACTGGACATTTCTTGGTTGTCTTTGTCCTCAACTTACTGTGGTTATTGACTGAGTTTTCCCTTCCTCTGCCCTCATCTTGTTTATGTCCTGTTTCCTGATCTAGACATCCTCATCTCCTGCATGGGGGAGGGGAAAGTTGAGCTTCTGTCTGGTCTTCTGCTAGGGCAGCAGAACTCTCTGCCATTTTCCATTTACCAAGATGAGAAGACATGTCCCCCCTACCCAAACCCCATATTTTATTGTCAACAATATTCTTCTCCAGGGCACAAAACTCCTCCCAGGCCCGTTAGCTGGCCTTGGGGCTTCGGAGTCAACTCTTAAGCACCAATCTGCACGTAATAAAAGCCGACAGTTTTCACGTGTTTACAGAAATGAGCTGAGTACACACCTTGTTGGCTGCCATGGAAAAGTACTTGAAGGCAGTAGCATTACTTTGTGGTGCTGCAGCATTACCCTCTAAATACATCTAGAAAAGAAGAAAAAGAACATGTGAAAAATGAGGAACTTGAGGGTGATGACAATGTTTTCGAACTACATAGAGGTAATGGTTGCACAACATTGGGAATGTAGTAAACGCCACTGAATTGTACACTTGCAAATGGTTAAGTTTATGTTATTTGAATTTCATCTCAATTTAAAAAAGAGAAAAAGCTAAGGAAACAACCTACTATATACATTCTGGAGTGACCTTGCCTGAGGCAAAGAAACAGACCCTATTTGCGCGTTCTCATATTTCCTCACATCTAATTTTACTGTATGTAGCACTTCTGGAAGCAGGGCACTTGTCCCCATGGTTATTAATGCAAATTGGCCGCAGGGAGCCAAGGGCAGTGCTCAGAGGAGTGAGTGATCTTTAAAGGAGAGAAGAACATGCCTCTAGAGAAACCCTCACTCAACAAAGCCACTGGGGTCAGAGGTGCCCTAAGGGTGGACTTTGGTCAGCCTGAAGCTGGTTCTCCGTTCAGGAATGGAGGAGGGAGGCACCTCGTTGGGCGAAGGCCTGCATCCGTTTGATGCATGACTAGCCCGGCTCTCCTGTTACATGCCAGAGTAAGGTGTCAAACTGGGGCTGAGGGGATGGGGCGCTGAGCTACACTCAACTGAGGAGCCCTGGGCCAGGTGCATTTTCAAGGCTGCTTTTAGTGCCCTAGATAAAGGCTGCTGTTGTGTGGGGCTTCTTCCCAAGCTGTCACCTCAGGAATACTAGTCTCAGTTTGTAGCAGAATGCCCAGTCGGATGCTTCCATGAAAGAGGCCTGCAGCCCTGTCACTATACACATTAGCTGGTACATTAATTTCTTGGGTTTTTAAGAAATGAAAAATGTTGACGGAGATGAAGCATGTACCTTTCCTATAAATGCCATGGCATTTGCACTCCCGGCCTTTGCTGCCTTTAAGAAGTAATATAATGCTTTCTGGAGAGAAAAGGAACAGTAGTATTAACAGTCACGAACATAACCTTCAAAATGGCTTTTTGAACCAAACTTTATTTCATTCAATATGCATTCAAAAATATCTATGAAATGCCCACTTTGTTCAAGGCACTACTCCAAGTGCTATTTCAACCATAAATCTAAGGAGTGGGAGCTATATATAGCTCACATATACAATTTTAGAATGTGAAGGCTTGTTTCTTACATTTGGAAAGGCATAGTGGGCATTTGTGGAAGACAGATGAATCCAGGCTGCAGAACTAAATAGTACATTCTTTTGAAAAAGTACCCTTCTATGTTAACACTATGTAGTTATTTTATAAGACAGTTTGTACAATTGGCAGAATTGGATATGCAGTGACCTAATGTTTATAAGACAGAGTAAGACCAGACACACCTGGCTGCTTGCTGAGACCAAGTCTTTCTGCAGAAGTGAAGTTCAGGCCAATTCTTTCTAAATCAAACTGAAGGGAACCGGCAAAGCCTCTGATTCTTTCTAGGTCATAACATTAAAGGAAACGTTCAGTCTAGAATGCGTAAGGGTTGATTTGTACCTTGCTGCCTCATTCCCTTGGCCTCATCCTGACCTTCCAGAAGTTCTTCTCAGAGACCACATGGAATATTAAAAGAAATTAGACTCAGGCATGAGAAATGAAGATACTCTCCAAAGTGTCTTATTAGGACACAACTCTTATGCTTTTTAAAAAGCCTAGGTTGATATGCAAGGATCTGCTCCTTCTCAAGGAGGAGAGAATGTTTAAGGAAGAAATATGAGTAGTTCTTTTATATGTAAATTTGCTCCAGAAATATTGCCAAGCTATTTGAGAACCCACCCTTGTTACTAAAGTCATTCTGCCTTATGGATATAAGTAAATGCAATTGCCACCAATGCTGGACCTCATTGCATCATGCATTCATTCATCCATCCATCTTTTCTTTATTCTTTCAAAAACTTGATTGAAATGTTCTACATATACTTATGGTAATATGTTAAGTATTATAGGTGATTGATGAACATAAAAATACTTTCCATGCACTCGCTTCCTAACAATACTGCTGAGAAGAAAGGCATATGTGTAAATAGCAATAAAATAGTAGGTGATAGATGGGATAAAAAGAACACAAAAAGAATGAGAGGGTATAGAATAAAAGAAATTGTACCTAGTTCCGTGATAAGTGTTTTTCAAGCTTTTTTTTACCTAATCTTCACAACAGCACATAAAAAAGGTATTATTAATATCTGAGCCTGTATAGTGACACTCAAGAGTCATGCAGCTGGTACTGGAGTTCCACAAGCAGGCTGAATGCAATTCCCATGTACTCGGCACTCTGGCTTCACGGTAAGAGGAAGGAGGTCTTAAATGATAAAGGTCCCACAGAAGATGGAGAGGATTCACTGGAGCAGAGGACACCATAGGCTCAGGGAATAACATGAGACGGGAATGTCCAAGGTGTGTCCAGGAAATAGTAATGACTTCAGTATGGCTGAAGTAGAGTGCCCCAAAGCTAAGACTTGCAAAAATATGATAAGGCCATATTATAACCAGTCTTGAATACCCAGATAAGTACTTTTATTTTATCTGGTAGGAAATAGAAGCAATTTGAGATTTATGAGCATGAGGGAATCTTGAAACTGTGTGAAAGTATTAGGCAAGCTACTTTGATGGATATACATGAGCCAATCTGAGTTCTTGCTCTCAAAGAGTTAAAATCAAGTATCCATCTGCTGTGGTCTGCATATTTGCATCACATTAAAATTCATATATTGAAAACCTAATGCCCAAGGCAATGGTATTAGAGATGGGGCCTTTGGGAGGTGATTGGCAGAGCTCTCGTGAATGGGATTAGTGCCCTTATAAAGCAGGCTCCAGAGAGCTAGCTCGCCCCTTCTGCTATGTGAGGATACAATGAAATGTTTGCAGACTGGAAGAGGGTCCTCCCACAACCATGCTGACACTCTGATCTCAAACTTCCAGCCTTCAGAACTGTGAGAAATAAATTTATATTGTTCATAAGCCACCCAATCTATGGTATTTTTGTTATAGCAACTCAAACAGACTAAGACACTTTCCTTCCTTCCTTCCAATTTTTTTTGGGGGGGAGGGTGAGGAAGATTGGCCCTGAGCTAATATCTGTTGCCAATCTTCCTCTTTTTGCTTGAGGAGGATTGTCCTTGAGGTAACATCTGTGTCAGTCTTCCTCTATTTTGTATGTGGGACACCACCACAGCATGGCTTGATGAGTGCTATGTAGGTCGGTGTCTGGGATCCAAACCCATGAACCCCAGGTTGCTGAAGTGGAGCATGCAAACTTAACCACTATGCCACTGGGTCGACCCCTATCCTTCAAATATTTAGTGAGCACCTACCATCGTATTTTACTGATTCTAAGATGTACATCTCCACTCCCAAATTTTAATCAGGACACTTCTTACTATCAATGGCATCATATATTGGCAGTGTTTTTTCTTTCTCAGTAGGACATAAACTAAAGTATCTTATAATTGATAGTAGCTTAGATATGATGAAATATAATATGTCTCAAGCATTTATGCTAAGTGAAGCTTTATTATTTTTATTATTTGAATGTACATCTCTTTTTTTTTTAAAAAAAGCATGATTTTTCATTTGTTCTAAGAAAATCCCTCATTTAATCAGTTTGCAACATTCCCCCTAGAATGAAATGTCAAGAAAATGTATTGTTCTAAAAACAATTATGAACACTTCTTTTATCCCAGGCTCTGTAAATCATCCTGAAAAGGGATGATATTACCTCTTTCTTTTTACTGGGTGGCAGGGTAGACAAAGTGTTGCCCTTACATATTTGATATTATTCCTCTGCTAGGTTTAATTTAATTACACATTATCTACTTTAATATAATGCACCAAAACACCCAGCTTTCCTAATCCCATTCATTCTGAGCTTGTATATATTTAGAAATGCAAATAACACTAAAATGTGTGTGTAGAAATTCAAGATAATGTAATCAAGAATTGCATATACAATACTTTGCAATAATTAATATTTGATGGTGGGCTTGGAGGAGGTGAAAATGTTGCCTGTGAGACAACTCATGAGAGAGATTAATTCAATCAAACTGTGGAGAAAAAAAGGTAAGCTAATTATTTCCAGGTATTTTTACATTTAATTTGCTGGGCAGTAAACTGGGCATCACTTACATTTATAAAGAGCCTTACACTAATAATTTTCTTTGGTGGACTAAAGCCTAGTATTAGCATACTGGCTTAAGTGATGGTTCTCAGGCTGAGGAGCAACATATAACGCTTAGGATGCTCTCACTAATTAATTAATTAATTCAATAAATACCTACTAAGTACCTAATATGTACCACGTACTAATCTGAGTACAGGAAACATAGTAGTAAGCAAGACAGACAAGAACTTACATTCCATTGTGGGGAGAACAACAGTAAACAAATCAAGATCAATTTAATTCAGCGAGTGATATGAGCTAGAGGAAAGTAAACACAGTGATAGGATAAGGGATGGAAGAGTATAGCTGATCAAGAAAATCCTCTCTGAGGGGGTGCGACTTGAAGGATGAGCTGTGGTAACAGCCTTTCAAGAAACTCAGTTTATCCTTTTATCTTCTCTCTCCCCTTTGTATCTCCTCTACCACTCCAAATTGATTTTGGTGCAACTAAGCTGTGGTATGTTGCAAAAATGACCACAATACTTTGCAGTTCTGCATATTGAAAAGAGGTCCCTTTTCTTGCCCCTTCCATGCTGGCTGGCCTTGTGACTTGGCCAAAACAATATGGCAGAAGTGATTTGTGAGTTCTGACTCTAAGCCTCAAGAGACTTCTGCTCATGTGTTCTTAGAACATTTGACTGCCATGTGAAAAGCTTGGGCCAGTTGCCAGCAGGATGTGAGCACATGGAGAAAGGCCCTAGTCATCCTAGCTGTCACAGATGAGGCCATTAAAAACCAACCAGCCCTGGCCAAAACTCTAGCTAACTATAGATGAATGAGCAAGCCTGGCCAAGATTAGTTGAGCTTGGTCCAGACCAGAAGAATTACTCAGTTGAGCCCAGTCAAAACTGCTGACCTTCCAAAATCATGAATTAAATAAATGGTTGTTATTTTAAGCCACGTAAATTTGGGAGTGGTTAGTTATACAGCCTAATCTAACTGATGCATAAGCCAATCAGTCTTGAGGTTTGAGACCTTGACTAGAGCCCTCCATTCAATTGTGGGTTTCTTACACTGAGGAACACAGGAAGAACCAGCCTGCCTTTGCCCCAGAATGTGCCTGAACCACTAGGCAAGTTCTGGAATTAAACCAGCCTTTTTGAAATGTCTGAATGGGAAGCATAGGCCCAACCCTCCATCAGAAAGTTATAGCTAAAGCAACTTGAGAGATTATGTCATTCCTTCTTCTTGTTTTATAAGTGGAGAAACTGGATTTTAGAAGCTGTGTATATATATACGTGTATATGTATATACACGTATATATATGTGTATGTATATATACACACATATTTTTTCCCCCAGGTCAAAAGGAAGTAAGATTTAATGGAAAGAGCACAGGCTCTGAATGTTGAAGCCCTGAATTCAAATTCTGATTAACAACCTTACTACCCAGCTGTGAGACTTGAAGCAATTTACTCCATCTCTCCAGCCTCAGCTTCTCATCTGTGAAATAGAGATAATAAAACCTCCATGAATGAGCCCACAGGAGAGCCTGACTGCACTCCTGGGTGACGCCCAACTGCCTGGCTGTTGCCACTACAACAGTGGAATCCTTCAGTGCCAGCCTTGGGATTGTACTTCCTCCTCACCTAGAGGCAGCTATAGCTCCCTTTTCACGTTCACGGTGGCTGGAGCTGATTGTAAGTACTTAGCCCTGTGGGTTTCACGTACTCTACAGAGATTGGTGGGTATTCCCTATGGCTGAAGTTTGGGTGCCTTCACAGTCAATCAACTTTCATATTTATGGGAAACAGGGAATTCTTCCCAGTTATGCATCCCAAAGTTAACATAAGAAACTCATTGCAGTCTAAAATCTGACATTGGAGTATTATTGTTAACCCAGAACTTCCCATCTAAGAAGCTAAAACCTTGGTTATGATGAGGATTAACAAAATCTGAAGACCTTCAATTGAGCTGTCTTGGGATGCATATGCTTATTTCAATTACCTATTTTATCACATTTTATGAAATTAACTTTGACCTTTAGCTAATGTGTACTGTACCTCATATAAAACAAACAATAGTACCAAAGACTCATTCATAAAATAACAATATAATGTGAAATGGAAAGTAGTAACAGATCATGCTTTTATGTAACTGCCTTATAAAGTAGTTATTTCTATTGCTTAGCCATTAGGACTCTGTTGAAATAGGGTATGTGTTCCTTTGAGACAATGAGCACATGGCTCCTATAAAATGACAAATCTGAAAAATCATCTTTTAAAAAGAATTCCAGTTACTTCCCCAGACCTGTGGGGATCTAGGGCCTTGAAACTGCAATAAAATCTAGACAAGACCGCATCCCAGGGCTCTGGCATCTTACTGAAGATGTAGGTCAAGTTTATTTGCTTTTTTCTCCATTATAAATTTGATTTTTTAATTATCTTCTAACCTTACTAGGATAAGATCATGTTAAACAAAATGACTGAAAGGAGCTTTGCAAATTTATAAAGATACTTAACAGTATTTCTAATTATATTGAAAGCAGTCTGTCCTCTGATCTAGCCAAATGGGGCTGAGGCTGGCCCTCAAGCTCCTCAGCAGGAAACTCACAGATGGACTTTCCATAGCTGGCCTTCGGGAAACAGGCGTGTCCAAGGCCAGCAGGAGTGGGTATGCATCTCATCTAACCCCAACCCAACAGTGAGTTTGGGTAAGAGAAGTCTAGGTCCAGTGGGAACACGGAAACTTCCCTGCCCCAACTGCTCCTTCAGAAGCCTCTAGCATTTTCTATTTGGAAGCAGGTAGGAAAAGTGTTCCTTCTGGTGAACTTTGTTCTTCCTCAAAACTGGGAAGCAGATCTGACCAAAGAAGCAGCAGTGGGCTTTCCCCAGGAGCTCTTCCACCCTCCCTCCTTCACTGCCCTGCCATTCTCCCTAACCACTGTCTTCCCCACCTGATATGACTGAATCTTGAGGTTGACTTACGTAGTAATCCTGATCTAGACCTTTTCTCCCAATGAGATGTAATTGTCCAAGAGATACCTAGGAACAATGAGTTTTGAAATTATTTTAGCAGTAGTATTAATTTAAATAAAGAAAAGGAAAAAATTTACTTGATGATTTTACTATAGCATGTTGATCCAGTTTGATGCAGTTGGCATGTCTTAAAAAAGAAGCAGGAAAACATTCCAGACTATATCTTTTATTGGGTAATTGGTTGGTTCTGGGCATATGGCTTCCTCAGTGGCAGGAAGCTTGCCTGCTGGTGTATTGCAACACATGGGCAGATAAACCGAGGGGCCTTAAGTCTTGGCTCTCAAAATTCACACAGATGCTGTCCCATTCCCATTCCCAAAGACGGAACACTTCTAGATCCTGGTAAGATTTCATTCATATTAAAATCAACATTGGATGGTCCTTTTTTCCTATAATTAAAATCTAGATTTTTTAAAATTGAAATTTTTAGGAGTAAATGCAAAAAAATATATATCATTACTATGGCAACTAACTCTCCCATAGGCCATAGGAACTCCAAGTGTCAGGGGACAAAAAAGGAGGAGGGCAAAGCAGAGGGCATGTCTCTTCCCTTCCCCATTCAGGAAGGGGCACTGTTTACCCCTCTAGGACTCAGAGAGAGCCAAGTCCCTTGTAACTTGCACGTTCTAAAAATTCAAGCTTGCTGTATACATTACTTGTAGCTGAACATCTCCTCTTTCTGCCAAAAATTTATAGTATTGGTATATGTCCCAATCCAAAATCTCACTGTTAGAACTCAGATTTTCAGGTCTCTCAGTTAGTCTCACTTTTTCCACTGGAATACCTTCACTTTTTTCCAATTTGTCAGCAACTGTGAACAGAAACAAGCCAGAGATAGCCAAAATACACAAGGTTTCAAGAGATAACAGTCAACTGAGAGAAAACACTGTTAGGCCTACTCTTAAACTGTGCAGAGATCTGGTCTACTAACAGAAATGAACTATCCTTGGGAGACAGAAACTTGCTAATTTTTGTTTATTTGGTTCTGAGAAAAGTGCAAGAAACTTAGATGTTCTTTGCAACCCATATGAATATTGTATCAACCTATATGAGACCCTACTGAAGATTTGGCCAAGCAGGCTCAAGAAAAGAAGATAGATTTTAGGAAAAGGTAACTTCCTCCCTCTACCACTGATTTTTTCTGGAACTAAAACTACAATATAAGAGCAATAGCTGCTCCTTAATAACTTCCTAAGGATAGTCTGAAAATAAATATAAAGATAAATATGCTTGAATAAACCTAACAAAGTGTGCAGTTTGAAATATATATATATAGTAATTCCATTTTCATTAAGCATATGAAATGCTCTTGTTATATATAGCATCTTAAATTCAAAAGTAGTTATTTTCCTCCTTCTTTCTTTTCTCAGATCCTAATAATGCCAAAGATGTGTATTCAAATGTTATTCTGATTACAGAAATTAACCAAATGGACTTCACTTCTTGGAAGACTTTTATTTAAAACTCCATTATTTAGTCTGGCTTGGTGATGTTGCAAGATGAAATGTTACACGCAACTTTGAAAATGATTCTAGGAACATATGTTAAACTCATGCTCTATATTTTGTAGACAAAGGATAGGGTAATAGAATAATGATTGCTTGAATTGTTGTCATATGCAGTGATAGAGAGCACCAATGTATGTAGCTTACATCCATTTCTTCAGGAATTTTTAACAAGGCATCCCATATTCTAAATGTTAGAATTAGGGAAATTGCTTAATATTTATTGATGTTACATTCAGATTCTCAGTTTAAGGAAAGAACATCACAAGAACAAGTAAAACAGAATTGTTTGGGGACATGCAGTAACAAAAATTAAAATTGAGTACAGTCATTTAAAACTTTTTGAAAAGTAACTATTAAGAAATTAGAAACTCTACATTGTATTAAAAGAATTGTATTATAACAGACGTTAAAAGCATAGCCTCTTAATTCTTTCATAAATATGTGAACTGGAATTGACTTATTTTTCTAATTGCTTGACAAGTCTGTTTATCTTAAAATAAATTATGTGAATTACTCACTATAATCTGCCACTTTCTTGTAATGATTTAGCGCAACTTCACAATTCTGTAGAACATTGATTCCTGACAAATATCTGTACCCCTAAAACACAGGCATATATAATCTTAATATTCTGACAATGCTGTATTTATAACATACCTATTTTGGCCCAAGAATATTTAATTTACGAACCAAAATCATCTGGGACATCATGCTTCCTCCAGCACTTCCAAAGGTGTAATATATCAGTGCCTAAAGTAAAAAAAAAAAAAAAAAAGAAAAAGAAAGTCATCTAGATTTAGAACTCAAACCAATCATTGTTTTTTTAATTCCTAGCCCAGCAATGAACCTTGAACTACTCCAAAATAAGGTTCCAAATTTCATGCTCTTGCTCTGTAAAGATGGCTGCCATTGGAGGCAGGGGGCTTACCGAGCTCTGGAGTCTGGGAAAAGGGCATTGTACATGATATTTCATTTAATTGTCACAACATCCCTGTGAGGTAGATACTGTTCTACCTTTAATGAAGAACCTGAAATATGAGACATCAAGGACCTTATGATATTTTAACCCTAAACTTTTCTATTGAGCTGGTGCTCTTAACCACCACACTAGAGTGAGCCTCTTTACCTAAAAAGTAGACTCTCTATTCAGTGTGCCCTTTTTAAAAAATCAGTTTTGTTCCAGACAAAATGGAATGACCTTACCTTGGCTTGATTGTATTCCATTCCTATTCCATAAGAAGACAAAAATCCTAATGCCTAAAACCCAAAAGAAAAAGAAAAACTCAATAAATTCCTTTATTTCACAATTATTCTTATCTACATTGGTAAGGGATATTTTAAATGTCTGCTTCATAGTAATTTGTATTGTGAATTTATTTCTTATACTACAACAAAGTGCCTTTTTACACTTCTGCTAAAACTGCAAGAATTTGGAAAAGGTCACAATATTAGGAGCTTTGCATAGTACATGTGAAAATTGGCTTATACTTACTGAGCTTTAGTATAAATTATAATAATAAAACATTATAAACTGCATAGTACATGTGAAAATTGGCTTATGCTTACTGAGCTTTAGTATAAATTATAATAATAAAACATTATAAACCAATGTTCTTTGTGTGCTTCCCTTTCTTGGCAATGAAAAAAATTTTCCTTCAATAGTTTTGAATTTGAATTTGGATATTTTTCTTCATATTTTAAAAATAAATGCGACAGATATAAAAAGTTAAAACAGTAAGAACTATATTAAATAAAAAGTGAAAATCTGACTACAGAGCAAGGTGATGGACTAGGAAGCCTGAGTTCTTGTTCCCCCACAGAGACACCAACTTAGCAACGATAAACACTCCAAAAATCCTTTATGAGAACTACAGAAATCAGTTAAGAAATTGTAGTAACCCAGGCAAACTCAAAGCAAAGTACAGCCCACTGAATAGGTAAGAAAAGCCATTTTATTTAATCTGCAGTTGCCCCTCCCGAAGCCAGCACAGGTCAATGTGATCAGAAGAAAAAGTCCCACTCAGGGCTTCTCCTTTGGGAGGGAAAGAGGAGAGTGGAACTTAGGTCCAATGTTACAGCTTTTGGGAGGACCCCCTGAGGGACTGGTTTCTGTACTGCCTGACTCAGAGCCCTGGTGGGGAACCAGCATACTTTGGATTCTTGGGGGGCTGCTAAGAACAAAAGATTGCTGAACCACTTATTGTAGCACCAGAGAATTTGCAGATACCACAGAGGGAAGCCAGCACAATTTGGTATTATATGAGAAAGCACCCAGCTGGTGGCTTCTCCCTGGGAAAGAAAAAGAGTGAAATGAGAGTCCAGTGTTTCAGCTTTTTGGGGGGCTGCTCAAAAGACTGGTTTCTATCTTCTTGGACTTAGAGCGCTGACACAACTGGCATGCTTTAGATGCTGGGGGCCACTAAGAACAGAAGAGAACTTAGTGGCTTGTTCCAACACCAGAAGACCTGCTGTATCATGAACAGACACCAGAGGGAGGAAGACATTACAAGCTCTTGAAAAAGAAACTGGCAAACCTCTCTAATTAGGAAATTACAAACATAGAGAAGATATATCCCCAGAAAAGATTTGAGAGGCCCCCAGAATCTTGAGCCATGCTGAATGGCAAAGGTCTCGCCCTGTATCAAATCTGTAAAGATTAGGAGAGGCGATTGTTTTTCCAAATGCATATATCACAGCAAAAAATAACAAGGCACACAATGAAACAGGGAAATACAGCCCAATGAAAGGGATAAATAAATCCCAAAAAAAGAAAAAGACCCTAAAGAAAAGGAGATCTACAAATTACCAGATAAAGAATTCAAAATAATCATCTTAAGCTCAAAGTGCTACAAGAGAACACATGTAAACAACTAAATGAAACCAGGAAAACAATGCATGAACAAAATAAGAATGTCAACAAAGAGATAGAAACTACAAAAAAGAACCTTACTGAAATTATGGAGCTGAAGAATACAATAACAGAACTGAAAAATTCACCAGAGGGGTTCAACATCAGAGTTGGTCAAGCAGAAGAAAGAATCAGTGAACCTGAACATAGGGCATTTGAAATTATCTAGTCAGAGAAACAAAAAGAAAAAAGAATAAAGAAAAGTGAAGAAAGTCTAAGGGACTTATGGGATACCAACAAATGGACCTATGTACATATTATGGGAGTCACAGAGAAAGAAGAGTGAGAGAAAAAGGAACAGAGAGATTATTTTAAGAAATAAAGGCTGAAAACTTCCCAAATCTGAGGAAGGAAAGGGCATCCAGTTCAAGAAGCTCAAAAACCTCCAACTAGGATGAACCCAAAGAGGCCCACAACAAGACACATTAGAATCAAGCCAGCAAAAGTCAAAGACAAAGAGGGAATCTTGAAAGCAGCGAGAGAAAGGAGACTCATCACATCCAAGGAAGCTCTCAAAAGATTACGAGCAGGTATCTCAGCAGAAACATAACAGGCCAGAAGGGAGTGGGATGATGTGTTCAAAATGATGAAAGAAAAAAGCTGGCAATCAAGAACACTGTATCTGGAAAAACTGACTTTCAGAAATGAAGGCAAAATAAAGATCTTCCCAGATAAACAAAGTTAAAGGAGTTCATTACCACTAGATCTGCCTTGTAAGAATTGCTAAGGGGAATCCTTCAAACTGAAACAAAAGAATGCTAGATAGGAACACAAAGCATACAAAAATATAAAGACAAATACTTAAATATAGACAAATTTGTATATATAGATAGATTAATACAGAATCCTGTAATTCTATAATGGTGCATAGCCACTTTTAATTCTGTTGTAGAATTTAAAAGACAAAAGCATAAAGGATAACTATAACTTAAAAACTATGTTAATGGATACAAAATATAGAAAGATGTAATTTGTCATTGATAACATAAATTAGGGAGAGGGCAGAGTGTATGTGATTGAAGTTAAGTTTCTATCAGTTTAAAATAGATTGTTATAACTATGTTTTATGTAATCTCCATAGTAACTACAAGGAAAATACCTATAGAAGATGCTCAAAAGAAAATGAAAAGGAAATCAAAGCACACCACCACAAAAAAATATAAATGAAAAACAAAGGAAGTCATCAAGAGAGTAAAAGAGGGACAAAATAACTACAAGACAAACAAAAACAATTAACAAGATGGCAATAGTCTTTCCCTATCAGTGATTAGTCTAAATGTAAAAGGATTAAATTTCCCCAATCAAAAGACATAGAGTGGCCGAATGGATAAAAAAATAAAATCCAAATATATGCTGTCTACAAGAGACTGACTTTAAATAGAAGAACACACATAGGCATAAAGATAGACATGTAGAACAATGAAACAGAGTAGAAAGCCCAGAAATAAAACTTCACATATATGGTCAAATGATTTTCAACAAAGGTGCCAAGGCTACACAATGGGGAAATGATAGTCTTGTCAACAAACGGTGTTGGGAAAACTGGATATCCACATGAAAAAGAATGAAATTGAACTCTTACCTTACACCATATACAAAAATTAACTCAGAATGAATTAAGGACCAAACATAAGGCCTGAAATGAAAAAACACATTGAAGAAAACAGAGGAAAATCTTTCTGATATTGGATTTGGTAATGATTTATTGGATATGACACTAAAAGTACAGGCAACAAAAATAAAAATAAAAAAATAAGACTATATCAAAATTAAAAACCTCTGTTTTGCAGTAATTAATACTATAAACAAAGTGAAAAGGCAACCCACAAAGTGGGAGAAAATATTTTCAAATCATTTATATGATAAAAGGTTAATATCTAGAATATATAAAGAGCTCCTACAACTCAACAACAGAAAAACAAATAACCCAATTGAAAAACGGGCAAAGGACTTGAATAAACATTTCTCCAAAGAATATATACAAATAGCCAACAATCAGGTGAAGAGGTGCTCACATCACTAACTATTAAAGAAATACAAATCAAAACTACAATGATATACCACTTCACACCCATTAGGATGGCTACTACAAAAAACCAAAACCAGAATATAACAAGTGTTGGTGAGGACAGGGAGAAAGTGGAACCCTATGCACTCTTGGTGGGAATGTAAAATGGTGCAGCCACTGTGGAAAACAACATGATGGTCACTTAAAAAATTAAATAGAATTACTGTATAATCTATTAATTGCACTTCTGGGTATATACCCAAAAGATTTGAAAGCAGGATCTTGAAGAGATATTTGTATACCCATGTTCATAGCAGCATTATTCACAACCGCTAGAAGTTGTAAGCAACCTAAGTGTCCATCAGTGGATGAATGAATAAACAAAATGTGGTATATACACACAATGAAATAGTATTCAGTCTTAAAAGGAAGAAAATTCTGATCCATGCTACAATGTGGATGAACCATTAGGACATTATACCAAGTGAAATAAGCCAGTCACAAAAAGACAAATACTGCATGAATCCATTTATATGATGTCTCTAACATAATCATACTCTTAGAAGCAAAGTAGGATGAAGGTTGGCAAGGGCTGGGGAGAGGGGCAGGAAGGACTTGTTTAATAGGCATAGGGTTTCAGATTTGCAAGACGAAAAAAGTTCCAGAGATCTGTTGTAGAACAATGCACAAGTAGTTAACACTACTGTACTATACACTAAAAATGCTGAAGATGGTAAATTTTATGCGTTTTTTTTATCACAATAAAAAAAGTGAAAGTCTCCTTTCACTGCCAAATCCCCATGCCTGATAACAGTTTGTCTTTCCAGACCACTTTCTAAGCATTCCCATACATATATGTAGTTTTTTCTTAAATCCCACTCCCTGCTAATTTGGGCTTCCTTTGTTATAATCTACTAAATTTTCTTATATTCGTGGACATAAGTCTAGACTTTCTAGTTCCTTGGTTTTTAATCCTGGCTGTTCGATGGACTCTCCTGAGGAGCTTTTATGAAACAAACTGGGACCCTGCCTTGGGAAAATCTGATGCATTCAGTTTCAGAATGGGGCCAGAGATTCTAGAGTTTCAAAATTTTCACAGTGATTCTGGTGAACTGCAGGCTGAGGTCAGTGCTTCTCAAACCTTGCCATGCAACATGAATAACCCTGGGATCTTGTGAAAATGCAGATTTGGATTCAGTAGGTCTGGAGTCAATCCCAGGATTCTGTATTTCTAACAAGCTCCTGGAGGGATGTGCATACTGCTGGTCCATGACCATACTTTAAGTGGCAAGAGTCTAGTTCTATTTGAAAATTTCTGGGCCAAAGCTGAATTATGTTGAT